ATATTAGACCATTCTATGACCCAAAGATTTGACATCCACAATTAAATCACAAAAAATAAAAAAAAATAAAAACCAAGGTGCAGTTTATAAGTACCATAAAAATAAAACTCTAAACAAAAAAGGAGAAAACACATTAGATCGGACAGATAAAAAATTTGGAGACCAAAATTAAAAGTTACCTTGCCTCTGGTTTTGGAGATCGAGATTGAAAGTTGCAACTGGAGAATCCGAAGTGCGAGCCTGCGAGATGGTCAGTGGAGGCACGGTCCGCACGGAGAGTTCAAAAATCGTTGGTCTTTAGTGAAGTGGCTGGTCGTGAGAGAAATCAAGGATAACCAAACAAAGTGTTTCGGCCGGCCTTCAGACTTTGGAGAACTCTCACTTGCAATTTTGATTCTTTGAAGAAATGGAAATGAATGAAGAATCACTTCGGTCAATTTGGTGGTCTTGTGGAGCTTTGACTATTTGTTCCTAGAGCTGTGAGTGTGACCGTGACTCTGTGAGTATGAAGATTGAAGACCGATATTTGGCCTTTGGGTTCTCTTCTCGAAGACTAAAGACTCTTCAGCGGCAAAGACAATGACAAAATGATTTAGTAGGCTCTCAAGACTCTTTAATGAAGAGTCAGACTCTTCTTGAATGAATAGAAATTAGTCAACGAGACAAAAAGACTTAATTAATTATATAGTTAGTTTTAATTACTAAACATTATATAATATTGATAGAATTGATTAATTGTACATAATATAATGCCAAAACATAAATATTATATATAATACCTATATATATAATTATATTACCAAAATATAAATATTATAAATATTATCTATATTACATTATATATAGGGCTGGGCCTATCGGGCTTGAGCCTAATAAAGCCCAAACTCGTCCCATAGTTAATGTGAGCCTAGTTTTGAGGCTCAAGTTCAGCCCGGCTCACTGATATTATAGGCTCATCGGGCTTTTTATCGGGATGGATTGGGGTCGGGCTGGCCCGGTCCTATTGACACTCCTATCTGATTACATCAACAAGGTTGGATTTGGCGGGGTACGTAGAGCCGGTTACATTCATGTGGATCATGGATTGATCACTGCATTTGTCGAGCGTTGGAGATAAGAGACACACATTTCATCTCTCTATTATGGGTGAGGCTACCATCATCTTGCAGGATGTGGAGGTGCTGTGGGGCCTGCGTGTTGATGGCCTTCCTGTTGCCTTGAATCATATTAGACAGAGTCCCTTACAACGCTAACAAATGGTTTACGATCTTTTAGGAGTTTGGCCAGAGAATAGGCACTTTCGAGATGGGCAACTGAAGATGTCATTCATAAAGGCACGATTACAAACAACATTAGAGCCCAATGCTTCTGAGGAAATGGTTCGTCAATATGCTCGAATGTATATACTGATTCTATTGGGAGACCTACTATTTTTAGATACCACAGGCAATGTTGTTAGTTCAAATTGGCTCGATTATATATAAGACTTGGAGGCAATGGGCGAATACAGTTGGGGAAGCGCGGTGTTAACCTGTTTATACTTGCGGATGTGTATTGCTTCTCAAGCAGAAACTAAGAGTACTGGTGGGCCTTATTTATTACTACAGGTAAATAAAAATATATCTCATAAACTATTTTTGGTTAAACACACATCTTATTCAATGAAAATTACCTTGGTATTAAACAGCTTTGGGCATGGGAGCGAATCCCACTTATTCGTCTTGATATACATCCTCGGTATGAAGTTGGAGATTACCCAATAGGAGGGAGATAGGCAGATGATCGTTTAGATTATGGGCCTCCTGGTCGGCCTGCGGTGTATTATCGAGAGCAGATGAGGTTGCTAAGAATGGATCGGGTATGTTATTATTTTGTGGATAATTATTATTTGCATTTCGCTAAATTTCTGTTCAAGGCAATGAGGATTGACTATCCATTTTTCCTGTTCTTTCAGTTCATCAGGATGCCATATAATGGTGACATACTGTCATCTCTACACGCGTATTGCAGACGGGGAGAGCGTATATGGTGAGCAAATGTCCCTTTGATATTTTCGCACATAGTTGAGTTTCATTGTCCAGATCGAGTGATGCGTCAGTTCGGCATGGTACAAGAAATTCGTAAAGAAATTGACACTGATCAGAATGGTTTGCACCAACTTGGTCTAGCTGGATTTTCAGGAAGGAATTGGGCTCAGTTTCATAGGAATTAGATAAGTTATTGGGATCGACGCTATGAAATTAAGATCCAAGGATAGCCTACAAATATATTCAGACATTCAGAAGAGTATCTCAGATGGTACCACCGTCACATCATCTTGTACATTACGTCTCCTATCCATCAGCAGACGCAGCCCGGGCACATGCTCTATAGGGTATCAGGACAACTTGAATATTTGGTAATTACTACTTCTACAATTTTCACTCCGTCAATATGTGTGCTTTTTGCTAGCATTTCCTAGTCAATCTTATACACTATATTAATTTGTCTATCTTTATATCAGATAGGTACCATGTAGCACATAGACATCAGTCGCATGATGCCCTCAATCTTGATGACTCAGGACATGTTTTTCACCCGTGTCTTTTGACGATTGTGGATGGTGCATTTAGGTTTATGCAGTACCTTTAACAATATGATCATATGAAAGTTGGTGATTGGGACCCATTTGAGACCCAAACACAATCTCAACATGTTCCCTATGAGAGGCCAATTGGATATGTCCCTCGGCAAGCTCGAGCATTTACTAGCGGAGTTAAACGACATAGGTATGGCTTGCACGACAAGGACGACAACGAAGCAGAGCATCGTGACCCTGAAGTGGACCCTCAAAATGCACTAAGCCGACCGGTACACATTTTTCTACATCACTACATACACCAGTTTCGACTTTGTTACAGTTTACATAATTGCCATATTTTCCTGTTTATGGTACACAATTCACTCCTTCTTCACACGTACCTGCGTTTGGTCATTCACGTTTTCGCCGCATATACTTGTATTTGGGTACGATTCCACTACACCAGGGGGTTCCTTACGTGCAGATCTTAGCCAAATATATGATTTGATTGGTGCCACGGGAGGTGGTTCTACTACTGTAGATCTTCCGGATTATTGTACTCTTGGTTAGACTATGTTCATGCCTACTCAAACCCAACCAAAAGGCATGTCAGGACATGTTGTTTTAAGAAATTTTCACGACTATCGTTCCAAAGACACTGATGATAGTGATGGAACAGCTGAGTCGACAGGCGAGCATACCCTTGTCTTTGATAACGCAGATGATGATTATGGCCCATCTACTGCTGTTCCACAAGTTCTTGCGCTAGTTATGGGAGAACGAGTGCTACGTAATCGTCAGAGAAAGCCTGCTACTAGATATTGTTGTCCCCCGACGAAACCTCAGGAGGAGGGTAAGGGCAAGGCTAAGGGTAAAGGCAAGAAAACTATGAGGCATTGATATTATTTTGTCTTCGACAATGTTTTATATCTCATCCATTTAATGCATTTCACATGACATTTAATTTAATTTAGTTGTCTATTTTTTCTGTTTAATCCAATCATTTTCAATTTGAATAACGTTAAACATTTTCAAAATAGAGAAGTACAAGTTATTTTATTAAACCCTATAATTGGATAGAATGGTCCCTATAGGATAATACCTACAAAACAAATAAGTACTAGTTGTTTTACAGTTATTTTAATTGATTAAATTATTTAAACTAATTATTGTAAACCAAATAATGACACACAAACAATTCTTCATTTCTACAAATATGTTATTAATCTTTTTATATGATTGCATTTTATTTGAAAATTTAAATATATAAATCGCTTTTCGTGTTATAATTTTTCATTTTTTGACACAATTACGGTTCCTTTAACATTTTGTGTGCATTATAGATAATAACATTAAAATTATCAAATCATAATAATATTAAGCAATACTTCCATCCATTACGCAATCACTTCAACTTAAATCATAATATTAAACCATTTTCTAAATTTAACAAATCATAACAATTAAGCATGCTATACAACTTAAGTTTGCTAAAATCGTAAATCTTAATTCTTTAAGAAACCCATAAATCCTTTAACAAATGGATCAAAGTTTTAAAACCTTGCATCCTTTAAAATGCTAAAATGCTAGCAAGACCAGTGTTTGTTTTTAAAATTTTGTCTAACTGTCTGTATTGTTTTTAAAAATTTTGATTCTAAATAATTTTTACAGAAAAAATTTTGCTGAATTATATAAAGATTTAAAAAAAAGCATTTCTAAATCGCCTGGCCATGGAGTGACGGCCGAAGGATTTTTTTAAAAAAAATTCTAAATTTTCTGGCTGTCGGTCCTACATGGCACGACAGCCCGAAAGATTTTTAAAAGAAAAAAATTTCTGACCTCTCTGACTGTCGCTCCCACATGGCGTGACAGCCAGGAGGATTTTTTATTGATATCTCTGGCATATGGAGCGACGGTCAGAGAGCTCAGAAAGCTTTTTTAAAAAAATTGCTCACACGACGGGCATACATTGAGACCAAGCAGCCAACCCACTATATTTGACCGACTTTTTTTGTCATCTAACAATATTCTAATCAATTAGCCCCTCTTTTATAACTAATCGAGGGGCATCTTCTTACTCATCCAAAGCAAACGGCTATTTCCATTGGCAATTTCAGCATGTTCAAATTTCTAACGGTGAATTTGCTTAGCTGGATTGACAGTAGGGTTAAACTGAGGAAAAATAAACGTTGAGGGATAAAGTGAGAAATATCCCATACCTAAAGGCGCTACAGTGCAATTAACCCCAAAAGTAAAGTTTTTTGCTTTCACAAATTGTCCTAGGGATAATTATGTATTTTCGTTTTTCAAATTGGGAATCTGTTGGATTTGTTAGATTCGAAAAAGTTTGTCCCGAAACACCTGCGTTTTTTGTGGGTTTCTTCACCTAGTAGTACAGCTTATCAACTCTTGATCGTTATTTAACAATTTGATAAGTGGGTTTTCATTTTTTTTTTTCCTAAGAATGTTTTCCCTTTTGCCGTCTGCTACTTTTACTATACTATTATTAGAAGTTAGAAGAACCCAAAAACACCCAGAACTAATGCATAAAAATTCTCGAGCCTATCGTGGATTTCATCAAAGCCCAAAATAGAGAAGCCAAACGGCACGGACCTTGACAGCATCCAAATTCAAACAAGGCAAAATCTTGGCAACCCTTTTTCTGTTGGGGGAAGAAAATTGCAATTCCAACAACATTTCTTCTCTTCAAAACATCACCAGAGTTGAACGGTTTCCTTAAGTGTTAGGTGAGTAATATTTTATTCTTAGTTTTGTTTGCGAACCATTTGGGTACTGTTTTTATTTCTTTAATCTGTGATGTGATTAGTACTTTTATATTTTTTGTGGCAAATTTCCTATTAACCAATGAAAACCAATGTCAGTAATACTCTGTTATTACCTGAAAAGATTTAGGATCTGTAAATAGTGTATAATGTAACCTTAAAAATTTGATCTTTTTGGGCATTTCTGCGAACTGGGCTTTGACCATTTTCATTTTTGAATCATAGAAGGAATGCCCATTTGAGATTAGCTGATTTTTCTCTTTAATTCTTGTGTGATTTAGTTTATGGATGTATGGTAGGATCAACAAAAAGGAATAGAGTGTGTTGCTTTGGTGTTGGTTTGCTAATTGGTTTTCTTGGTTTGGTGTATTTTTAAGTTGTTGACAAGGAATATGAGTGCTAAAACAAAGAGGAGGACTGTAACCGAGAATGGGGACATGGCAAACGAAGATAGTGTTCTTGCTACCATGATTGGTAATGGGGAGGATTTGGGTCCAATGGTTAGGCTTTCGTTTGAGACGGGGAAGCCTGAAGCCCTTTTGAATCAGCTAAAGCTTGCTGTGAAGAAGAAGGAAGTTGAAATCGAGGAGCTCTGCAAGCTTCATTATGAGGAGTTCATTAGCGCGGTGGATGAACTCCGTGGTGTATTAGTTGACGCTGAGGAGTTGAAAAGTGAGCTTGCTAGTGACAACTTCAGGTTACAAGAGGTTGGGAGTGCCCTACTTTTGAAAGTTGAAGAGCTTCTTGAATCTTATTCAATTAAGAAAAATGTTACTGAAGCTATTAAGATGTCTAAAATTTGCGTTCAAGTTTTGGAGCTTTGTGTAAAGTGTAATGAGCACATTTCTGAAGCTCGGTTTTACCCTGCTTTGAAAGCGGTTGATCTGATTGAGAAGAACTTTTTGCAGCATGTTCCTGTGAAGGCACTGAAAGCACTGATAGAGGAGAGGATTCCACTTATTAAATCCCATATTGAGAAGAAGGTGTGCACTCAAGTTAATGAATGGCTAGTTCTTATAAGGAGTAGCGCAAAGGATATTGGTCAAACTGCAATTGGACATGCTGCATCAGCGCGTCAGAGGGATGAAGATATGCTATCTCGTCAAAGGAAAGCTGAGGAACAGAGTTGTTTGGGACTGGGCGATTTTACCTATACCTTAGATGTTGAAGAAATCAATGAGGATTCTGTGTTGAAGTTTGATCTTACTCCTGTTTATCGGGCATATCACATTCACAATTGTCTCGGAATAGAAGAGCAGTTTCGTGAGTATTACTATAAAAACCGGTTATTACAGCTGAGTTCTGACCTGCAGATATCCTCAGCACAGCCGTTTCTTGAATCACATCAGACCTTTCTGGCTCAAATTGCAGGTTATTTTATCGTTGAGGATCGGGTATTGAGGACGGCAGGTGGCCTGCTGTTACCTAATCAGCTTGATACAATGTGGGAAACAGCTGTGTCTAAAGTGGCTTCTGTCTTAGAGGAACAATTTTCTCACATGGATATTGCAAGCCACCTTCTCTTAGTCAAGGATTATGTGACTCTTCTGGGTGCAACCCTTAGACAATATGGCTATGATGTTGGCCCCATCCTTGAGACCCTTAACAGTAGTCGCAGTAAGTACCATGAGCTTCTTTTAGCAGAGTGCAGGCAACAGATTACTGATGTTCTGATCAATGATACATATGACCAGATGGTAATGAAAAAGGAGTCAGACTACCAGACAAATGTTTTACTGTTCCATCTTCAGACCTCAGATATAATGCCCGCTTTTCCCTACATTGCTCCATTTTCTTCTATGGTACCTGAATGTTGTCGTATTGTCAGAACTTTTATCAAGGACTCTGTCAATTTCTTGTCTTATGGGTGCCAAATGAACTTCTTTGATTTTGTTAAAGAATACCTGGATAAGCTCTTGATTGATATTTTAAATGAGGTTATACTTAACACGATTCAGAGTGGCTCCACTGGTGTTTCTCAAGCAATGCAGATTGCTGCAAACATAGCTGTGCTGGAAAGAGCTTGTGATTATTTTCTTCAACATGCAGCCCAACAATGTGGGATTCCTGTCCGATCTGTTGAAAGGCCTCAAGGTAGTTTAACTGCCAAGATTGTTCTGAAAACTTCGAGAGATGCTGCTTATCTTGCTCTACTTAGTTTAATAAATGCCAAGTTAGATGAGTATATGGCACTCACGGAGAATGTGAACTGGACAGTGGAAGAAGCACCACAACAAGGCAGTGAGTACATGCATGAGGTGGTTATATACCTTGACACCGTGATGTCCACTGCTCAGCAAATTTTACCTCTAGATGCTTTGTACAAGATAGGGAGTGGTGCTCTGGAACATATTTCTAATTCTATTATGGCAGCCTTTCTTAGTGACAGTGTGAAGAGGTTCAACGTTAATGCAGTTATGGTCATCAATAATGATCTGAAGACGTTGGAATCTTTTGCAGATGAGAGGTTTCATAGTACTGGTTTATCTGAAATATACAAAGAAGGTAGTTTCCGAAGTTGCTTGGTAGAAGCCCGACAGTTAATAAATCTTCTCTTAAGCAGTCAGCCTGAGAGCTTCATGAACCCTGTCATAAGGGAGAAAAATTATAATGCTTTGGACTATAAAAAGGTTGCTATTATCTGCGACAAGTACAAGGATTCAGCTGATGGACTCTTTGGAAGCCTCTCAAATAGATCTTCGAAGCAGAGTGCTCGAAAAAAATCAATGGATGTGCTAAAGAAAAGACTTAGGGATTTTAATTAGTTAGTTTTAAACGTCTATAAATTGGTAGAGCAGAAATATCTGTCATCAATAGATTCTTTCATTATCGCTCCTGATTCGTCACACCCAAAAGATAATGGTGTACATTGATTTGACTTTTTGCAAATTTGTCTAATTATATTTTCTTATAATCTCTCTCCCTCCCTGTCTATGTGCGGTGCTAGTGTGTGCCTTATTATAACAAAGTGGTATAGGTGTCTATGCTACTGTTTAGGGTAGTCTCAAATTTTTCAGTGGATGAGAGCAGTTATGAAGCAAACCAAAGGATGACAATGGTTAGTATTGAACATATCCCTAGTGGTTCAAATAAATTTCTTGTTCTGACAATATTTTGTGATACTGGTCTCTTGTAAAAGCTAACAAGCTGGCATCTACTATATTTTGCAAGTAATTGAAATTTGCATGCTGCCCACAGGAGTTGCAAATGCTTGCTTTGTTCCATAACCTCTAGTTTGATATATATACTTCATTGTAGTTTTTGTTTTGCTCACATATGAAAATCTTTTGTTCTCTGTTAAGTTTTTTGTGTTTTTTTGTCTCCTCTTTGACTTCTTTTCTCTCCCCGGGGGTGCTTGATATGAGAAAATCTATAGGAAAAGAAAAACAAAAAAGAATTAGCATTGCTTCTTGAATATGTATTACAACCATTTGGTTTCCTGGGAGTCATTTAATGATAGAGGAAAAAAATCCATGATAAAAGATGGAAAAAATGAATTGAGTTATACTACATGTTACGGCAACTGGAACTAAATGGTTTTCTTTTCTTCTGTCTTTAAGAGATGCTAAAAATATTTATTCCAAATGTTGGTTGATTATCCTAGTGGTAATGATTACGATTACCATGATTTTCATCTGGCCATTATGGATGCAAATTCATTTTAACTTGTTATTCCTCCAAAAGATTGATCAATGCATGAGACCTTTTCAGAGAAACCATGAGTTTAGTTGTTGATACTCTCAGATGCAGACATGCATTAATTAACAGATGCATTGCCGTCAGCGTTGGAAACAAAGGAAGTTTTCTTCCATCTTTCATGTGGAGTCATCCACGTGATTGTTCATCCTTGCGTGCTCTTTCTGCAGGTGAGAATATATTTGTGCAACCTTCCGATTTAACATTCATCATACACAGTCTTAGCTTAAAAGATATTGAATTTCTATGCCTTCCTACAGAGTCTCTTCCTGTGGAGGATTAATGTTTTGGCAATAATTGCAGACTGAAGTTTGAAGGAACTATGGAAAAGAATGAGGTTTTGTTTTTGTTTCTTCAATAACTCATAATTGAAGTCTAAGTGCTCAATTTCGTAAAATGTATTGTGACATACTGGACCTGAATTGTCCAGTCGGTCTTTTAGTCTTTGATCAGATGAAGTCATAATGTGACATGAATTATTATTATGTATTGATTAGTTCAGGCAAATTGAAAGTCATACCATTAATTGAGTATCCAAGATGAGGCATTAAGGCTTAAGGACTAAGGAAGTGCTGTTGCTGCTCCTAATGCAAAGAAATACTATGTGATTACCTCTTTACTCTCTTTCAAATTAATCTCTGATTTTTCAGCATGACAGGTATGAATCTCACGTCTCTGTGGCGCATACTCGCTTCATACGGTTAGTCATCTGCTTATTCTTCACAATTTGTCTTGCTGCATATGAAGTTGAACAACCCTTGTGTTCTGGTTGTGTCGTTTTAGTGAAATTAAATTCACGCTTTGAAAGTACTCACAGAAGGCAAGAGGCATAATGCTGTCATTGTTCCTTTCTGTATCTCTTTTTTTTTTTTTTCTAGCCATTGATGGCTAAGACTGGCAAACAATTTTCACCCTGGTCAAGTTAATAGCCAAAACAGTAGAACCTGACACAATATCTTCCATGCCTATAGCTACCAATAAAGAAGGATGTGTTATGTGTGTTTTGTGTTAATGAGCGGGGGAAATCTCACTCTGTTCTTTAAGTTCCAAGAAGTCATTGGAATGCTTCATGAATAAGTTATGTGTCTTCCTTTTGGACTTGGCAAATCAAAAGCTTTGTTGTGGCCCCGCGGTTAAGTACCAGAAGAATTTCCTTGTTAGCAGGCGTCTTTGTACTGAGGAGTGAGAACTTCCAAATAAATGGAGAAAACAAGTATTTGTTAGATAGTCTTCTGAATACTGTCGTCCCTATGTCAATTGATGCATATATTGATGTAAGTACGCAAAATCACAGTCTGACTATCATCTACTTGAAATCATAATCACTATGTTTGAAGTACTTAATGTAAGTTCTGCTACTGATAATGGCTTGTTGTATAGCTAATTGGCAAATCTTTGATTACCACGTTGAATTTGTGCTTGAAATAATGAAACGTGAAAAGCAGAAACAAGTAGTTAGTGGTTGATTCAGCTGTGGCTATTTTTCTTTTTTCCTTTTTTTGTCTATTATTCAGCTCTGGCTATTTTCGTTTCTTTCCTTTCTCTTTTCTTTTTAGTTCCACCATTCTGAGTTTGGAAAATCATCGCTGGCTTGAATATTTTGGTAGGAATTGCTGGATTAATGTTTTACTAAACTCCTTAACTTTTTGAGAAACCAAACATATGAAATTAGCAACCTGATTGTTTGGATAGCATTTTTCTGAATTATGTTAAGTATTATACAATTCAGGTAGCATTTTTGTACACAATTCAGAAAGCATTTTTTCTGGTGACTTGGGCTTGGTGTAATGATCATATTAAATTAGCAACCCGAGAAACCAGACAAGTTGCTATCTACCAACAAAAAACAGAGGACATGGAGGAAGTAGTAGTAAAAAAGAATAGGCCTATAATGCGGAACTGATGAATGATCCGTCGCATTTATTTGTGTGGTGCCTTTTTTAATTGTAGGTGGAGAATGCCAGCATTTGTTGATATGCTCTTACTTCTGAACATTGCTTTACTTTCTCCTCAAATTTGCATGGCTGATTTTAGTTGCTTTAGTTGTAAATGTCTTTGCAGGCCTCTAATTGATTATTTAGTGTCATTGAATGTTATGCAATTAAGCAATTACCACCAGTGGACCAGGTTTGAATTACGGGTGGCTTTCTTGTGACTGGTGACAATGAGCCTTGTTTACTATATCTAACGCAATTATTGCTCTTTTGTGTTTAAGGAGGAACTATGAGGTCTTCTTCCATGTGTTTGTGTGGCAGGGTCATTTTAACCGTCTTGCTTCCACCATGGGCTGGCAATGAATACCAATAACATCACTTTGGTACGTAAGTTAAAAAGAAAAATCATTTTGGCTTTTTCAGGAACTAAGATATCGCATTCCGTAGTCATACTTACTTTGCTACAACTTGAGAGGTGGGTACGTAAGTTTCTTCTTCCCTGTGTCATTTGTTCTATTCCAACCTGTTAAGCCTAATACATGAGAATTGATGAATTATTTCCCCACGATCACAATTGTAGATTCCATTCCTCTCCTCTTATATATTTACTATCCTTAACGATATGCTAGGCAGAATAAATTGCCATCAGTTTCATGATATATAAATGCATGAAACAAGGATTCAAGTTTTACTGAACAAGAAAGAGTTGGGATTTATGTTTTAGACTCTTGAACTTCAGTTGAGAATAGAAATAACTAGAAACTATTATTGGATGACAAATACTTTTGTGTGCTGATCATCTTTCACCTAGCGTGTTTGCTTTTGAGAAACAAATTTGAGTCTTCTGCATGCATTTGTCTGTTTTACCTCTCCACTTTTCTAAATTCTTCGTTCTTAGAATTTCCTGGTGGTGCTAGACACGAAGGTTGAGAATTCGATTTTTTTATTTAAATGTAGCCTGATGATGGTGGGGGAGCATTTTGTGAGCGGGGATTTATTTGGGATTAAGGGACTCTTGCGAAAATATACTCATTTATGCTATGGGATTACTTGGTGGGACTAATATGGTTTGGCCCAAATTGGTGCCGCCCAATTCTGTGATGTAACATAAAGCCCCGCTTGCGGTACTTTGAACACATGGATATATTTCAGGTCCACCATTCATGTTTTTGCCCTTTTCGAAGGAGGTCCATCTGCTTTTCTGTATTTGAATCCCAATTAATCCTATCTACATTCCTGCAATGAGTCAGTCTCTGGACATATTCTCATGCTTCCTATCAAATCCAAGATTCATCCATAATATTTTTCTTGGGGGCAAGATTCCTCCGTAATGTGAGCAATGAGACTCCAACTCATCAGAGCCTTTAGCCTTGAAGTGTATGCACTGGTTTCTGTTATTTTATTTTTTTTTTTTGACGAAACGATAAGATTTTCCATTGACTAAAAGGAGTATACAGGTGCGAGCAAAGGCTCGAGAAACTTTACAATTAGTGCTCAATTGCACTGAGGAAAGAAACGTTCCTCATCCAAAATAAGTGCTCAAAATAAGTCCTCATTCAATTGCACTGTGAATTAGTGCTCAATTGCAGTGGTTTCTGTTATATTACAGCATTCTTTGCCTCTGTCATTTCTACTCTTCTCAGTAACATGTTTGAGCTATGAACTCTGCTGCTGTTTTATGTCTTTTGTCTACTGTTCAGGTAGCATCTAGACCACAGGAGTAACATGAATTTAAATTTATCTATCCTATTAATTTGTGTTTCTAATCAGAGTTACCCATCAGGGCTTTTTTAAGCTGATTATAGATGGGAACTCTGGAATCCTGTCTGTAGCCTTATCATATCTGTGTCATTAAACGTTTTGTGTTTAATATAAGAAATTCAGCTGAAATCGTTATGAGAAATATTTATCTGCATTTTAAAAGATGAATTATGAGAAATATTTATCTACAGATAATTACTGCTTCTTCAACAAGCACACCACAAATATAAATTAATCATCAAATTGAATCTCAGGAAACTTTATTTTACCATGGAGAGGTGTATTAGCTAAATGGTAATGCGAATTTTCTTGGCTGCTGAGTTCAATTAAAATTTCTCATTTTTTTGTGTTCCAAAATGTTCTTCCATGCAACATATAAGTTAATGAGATTCTTATGCCTATATCAAGAAATTCTGTCCTTCGGGAAATGCGAAAAACTAGTTGCTTGCGAGGACAACAATTTGTACTAAACTAGCAAAGAAGAAAAGTTTACATGTTTTTACGAATATGATTAAATAGTGGATGGTGCTTTTGCACCTAAGAATTACTAAGCGGTGGAAGAAATTCTCTGTGTGTTCTTTGGTCAATGATACTAGTAAACAAGTTTAACTTGTCTTTTTCTTGGGTTTAATTATAATAGCTCACTTAATGGTTTTGGGACCTACTAGATATTTCGAGTAAGATTGGGATATTCAAACATGAAACAATCAATAAGAGACAAAATAAATAAATTAATAAGAGTACAATTTCATTGTCTAAATGAGCACACTTGCTAGGAACAATTTGACCATATAATATTGAAGTTAGTCATCTCTCTTTTATATTGTTGCAATTGTGGCAATTCAAAGAAATAGATAAATAAAAGTACCGTAAATATAATATCACCCATCGACGAGAGTCTTTTTTCCTACTTGTTTACTTTTTTGAAACGTAGGTGAAATATAACGATAGTTATTCTTAAAAGTAGAACAGATCCTTTTTTTGGGTTTTTTTTTTAAAAAAAATTATCGTAACATTTTTATTGGTAAATATAACTTCAAGATAAATAAATGATTGAAACTTTTCAAGAATATATTATCAAAAAACAATGTGAAACAAAGGAAACCCTAGTGTATGAAAAGAATCATGAACTCGTTGTGGGCGTGTCCATATAGTAATTCCCAAGCCAATATCTAGCCAACACATAAACGCACGCATGAACACACAAATCCAAACCAAAAGCTTAGAAACCTGTCCACTTTTTCTCATGATTTTATCATCAAGACAACATTAACTGATTGTGTTATTTCTTGGGTTTTTTTTTTTTTTTGGCCCCATCTTCTGAAAACACATTCTACGTTCTCATACTATCAAGTTATTAATAATTATGGGACGAAAGGAACATGCTCAATAAAGTGGATAGAAAGGTCTGTCAACTAATAAAATACTGACCACTAAATGTGAAAGATCTCTCAGAATTGCTGGCCTGCCCTGTTCACATTTCAGCAAATGCTAGCCACTAGATGTGAAAGATCTCTCAGAATTGCTGGCCTGCTCAGTTCACATTTCAGCAAATTGTGATGTAGAAATCAAGAGATTCAGTTTTTTTTTTGACAAGGAAACTCGCAACCGCTATCCGAGAGTGCACGTTAGATAAATCCCGTTCTGTGCAATAGTCCACCAATCAAACGGAGGAGCAAGACGTATTAGGCAAATCCTGTGTAACGGACAGATGTTCTAATAAAGGTTTGAATTCGGATTGGTAAGAAGACATGACATTAACTCTACTATTTTGACCAAGTCAAGGGATATCAAGAGATTCAGTCTAACACAAAGTGTTCATGAAAACAACCGCACACCTTCATTGTCATCTGGCTGGAAAGTCTCGAAGAAAAACAAGAAGAATTGGTTCAGTGGGGACTTTAGTCCAAATATTCTTTAATTGTGAGACTCACGGGCTATCACAATTGAAGTGGCGGTGTCATCTTTTCCAGCACATGCATCCATGGGCAGAACAGATATGGAGGTTTTGTTCTTTTTTGTTAGGTTATCAATTATTTGGTTCAGTTTTACGTAAGCAAAGATGTCATCTGAGTACCTTAATTTCTTCCTCAATCTATTATTGTGTGAGGAAAAGAGAGCGACTACTTCTCTAGAAGGAACAGATATAGCTGTTTTATGCATTAAGAAGAAGAAAAAGAAAAACGTCTTTGAAGATGAAAAGTAATTTTTCTGTCAAAAAATAATTGCTTCCATATAAAATTTAACGCCAAATATTGTTTTGAGTTGCTCAAATTTTTTTTTTTTTTGGACAAACCCGTATATTGGGGATGAAGGCCAGACTATGTTTTGTTAAAGTCTTGAATAGATAAAAGTTGAATTAGGAGTTGCATACTTGCATGCAAGTTTTGAACTTTCTTTCGGTTGGTTCTACTTTTGGTCTATATACAAATTTCAAAGCTGAAAGAGTTGCTTTAATAAGTAGCACCAAGGTATATTTTAAGGAAACTCGAGTGCCAAATACAGCATTTGCTGAATATCTCTAATTTTAATTGTAATACTACACATTCAACTTTCTAGTACAATTTTACACAATTCTACTCATTTTATCAACTTTCTAGTACAATTTTACACAATTCTACTCATTTTATCAACTTTCTAGTACAATTTTACACAATTCTACTCATTCAGGCTTGTATTATATGAATAAAAAGTAATAATTCGTAACAGGTCAATTTTTTTGTATGCACTCACATTTATTGTATCTTGTATTTAAATAGTTTCATGATTTAATGTAGTTTTTCAAATAAACACTATCTAACCAATGGCCATTGGATTCTTTCATCCGCACCTTATATGAAATTTTAAACAATATTGTCCTTTTGAATTTCGCCAATAGTTTTGTTTTGGACAGGAGATTATCTGAAATATTATTTGGAATAATTACTGTATTATTTTTTGTGATGTGATGTATGTGAGATAAAAAGGTGATTGAGAAGATAAAAAGGTGCGTTGAAAATTGTGTTTGTGATGCAAACAAATAATTTTTGACCAAATAATGGCTATCCAAACAAACTTGACGCTTTGATAGAATGGAAATGTTTTTGTTTGAGTTCTAGAAAATAGAAAACAGACTAAACGGACCATAGTCGAGGTATACACGTAATGCATAGGTTAAATTCGGAGGATCCATCAGAAAAATGCAATGAAGGGAACCCTGCCAAGCTGCCACTTCAGTGTTCATAAATTTGCTCATTCATCTCAATTATTTGCTGCAAGAATTGAATTTTTTTTTGGGATTTTGTCTTTTTATTGTTGTCCTACCAGTTTTTGAGTGAATTCATTTCCAAGGGTCAATTGAACATTGCTAAAATCTAACTTTGTAGCTTGTCAAGTCAGCACAGAAGAAAGTGATTTCCTCTAGGGAGAACAAGAATCCGTAGGCCAAAGGTAAACAATCCAGGCACATGTAAACAAAGGATCTTAATCTAAGCTAACACAATTAACCAAATCAACCAATAGAAAAATCCTAATTGTAGAGCCTTGTCTTTAACTATCATCTGATTTCTAGTTTAGTCCCTAAATTCTAGATTGGAACAATTTAGTCCCTAAATTATACTTTGATTCCCATGTTGATCTCTAAACTCCAAATCAGGACAATTTAATCACCTAACGACCACGATTCTCAATTTGGTCCCTAAACTTATTTGTTCCCTCTAATCTTAGGATTTTCTTTTGGGTTATCGTTTAATCTTTGTTACTGCTCACTTGACTCGTGTTTCGTTAGTTTTGGGAATTCCATTAAATAATTGTCTTTAGTTGGGATGATATATGTAATTTAGAGACTAAAGTGTCCCGATTTCTAGTCGAGAGACTAAAGCGAAAATTGAGGTATAATTGAAGGATGCAAAACAGAATTAACGCAATCTTTTAGCTCGGAGTTGAATGATTACAATGATCCGACATTGCTGTTGTATTGCACGTGATACATCTGTTCTTGGTAGAAGCTTTTCTTAAACAATGGATTATTTAATTAATTGTCTGCTTAATTAGCTCATACCATTCAGTATCAGGAAAACAACAAAGATAGGGGATTCAAATTAAAGGGGGAAACAAAAAAGATGATAACACAATTAATGGTACAAATGTCCATAACAATGACTAATATGGTAATCAATAGACAGCTTAGGCAAAAACAAACAAATTAAGGACCGCAAGAGAGAAGAAAAGGGAAAACAAGGCCATTGGAGTTAGTAAAAGATTTGAATGATCCAATATACGTTCTTACTACACTTGGAATAGGTTCTCACTTTTTGTTCCCAATGTTTGGAAATTGGACTATTTTGTCACTAAAGTTTCACTGAAATATATGTAGTACCCATAGTTTTAATTTTGACCAATTAGTACAATTGATGCCATTGTCCTACACCACATCCATTAATAAAACAAGAAAAAGTACGGAATATTGCTAATTTAATTCCCTCAATTTTTTATCTAAAGTATCTTTATTTTGTGATATTTTATTTTATCCTATTTAGTCCTTTCACCTTTTTTTTTTCTAATGCTAAAATAGTCCTTTATTCACTAACTCCACCAGTGAACTTTTTCCAACTCGAAATCCAGCCTCGTGAAAGGGTGTGATAAAAACTAATAAATGATTCTCTTTCCAAAAAAAAAAAAAAAAAATTTATTTTCTTCTTATTTGTTTTTTTTATATGCTATATAGTTTCTTTCTTTTTTTTTTTTTTTTTACTTTCTTCAACTATTTTTTCTACTTTCTTTTGAAACTACATAATTAACGAGTTTAACACACTAACAATGTTATATTATTAAAATGATAAAGTATATTATTTCAAATTTAAACTTTGATGCAAGAAGCT